TATATATATGTGTGTGTGTGTGTAATTATAAGTACAGTTTTGAGTGTGTTGTTTTTTAGGATTCCCAACTTGTTCTTGTACCACAATATCTGAGGGAAGTATTGTTCTTCCCTAAATATATAAAAACTAGTCCATACCCATTGAGAGCACAATTGCCCACATACAGTATTGTTTTTCCTTTATGTTTTGATACTGAAAAACTTGTAAAATTAAATACAGTTTGCAGGTCTGTTACAATATATACTCACATTGTGGTGTTGCTTCTTTTACTCAAACAAATGTAAATACATGTCTTCTGCCACTGCTCATTTTGTAGCGTTAGTAATGGCACTTTTATTTTGGAGAATTCAAACGAGTGACAGGAAGTATGAGTTTTGTTTCTGCTACCTGAACCCACCTGCAGTACACCACACTGTCTCTGTTAGAGGAGTCTGTAGACACGAACCAGGTGAGTTCACTGCACATTAAAATATATAATTCATAATAATTTGAACATTTTAATGAGACAAGCTGTTTATTGAGCTCTGAACTTGGTGATATGGATGTTTGGTTAATGTTTATCATGCTCATAGTGTGCAAGAGAGAGGAGAGTTATGGAAAGAAAGATATTATCAACTTGATTATTTAATTTATTTACAATTTTGAACGCTTTCTATGCGTTTATCCTGTCTTGACATTAAAGACCCTAAAATTAAATCCTGTTTTTGGTGTGAGCTGTAGGATGAGGTTGAGATGGCAAACACAAAGAGGTGCAGCACTTTCTGTGGGAACTGAACTTCCCTCCATCAAAATGACAAAACCGGTTTGTTGACATAAACCTATAGACTGCAAACACTTTTGACAGTTTTTGTTAAATGCCTCCAATAAACGTTTTTTCCTTATTCATCTGTTTTTTAAAATATGACGCAACAACTTCTCTGGACATTTATTAAAAAAGAGCAATAATTAATACTATGACTAATTGTGGTCAAGGGGGTTCATTTACAGTACAGAAAAACAATAGTAAAATAAAAATATTTATTTTTTTATGATCAAATTTGGTTGTAGTTTTAGAGGTTGACTACACAAAAGGTGCAGTTCAGATATATTGCACATTTTTTATAGCTTTTTTTCATATTTTTAATCAGAATTTTCTTTCGTTCTTTGATTTTTGCGACTTTTATTTGTTTTGCTTTTATTTCATTTTCTTGTACTATGTTTATGTTTTGCATCAATACACCACAGCAAATCTCCTGTATGTGAAAACCTACCTGACAAGAAACCAGATTCTGATTCTGCTTTAAAGCCAGCAATTCAGTTTGACACCAGCTTTTTAAAAAACATGAAATATTCCACTTTTTTTTTTTTACATTATTGATAGCCTACTATTAAACGTTTAGTGATGTTTATACTAATTTAATCCATTACTACTTTTTCCACCTTATTTATACAAATATAAGACAGCAATTCATAGTATCAGCTTTTCAGCTTCCAGCATTCACGCCGCACTTTTTTTTAGTTTTACCTCGATATTCTCTTCAGGTATTCTGAAATATTTTCCCTCCTCTCTGTATAACAGTGAGCTCTGTGTTGAGACAAGTCTTTAGACAGACTATCTGACCCGTCTAGTGAGTTGTTGTGTTCAGTGGGGAGTCACACCTTAACTATTGTGGGAACTCAGCTTGTGTTCCCATGAATCTCAGCTGCTCTCCTTTTTTTCTTTGTCACTACAAAAACAACTGAAGCAACGCTGAAATGTGACTTGTGTCATCCAGGAAAGCCCCAAACTCAGTTCGCCATCACTTGTGTGTGTGTGTGGCTCATGCATCATTAGGTGCTCCATCGTAATGATCTTTTTTAAAATCTGAACCTTCAGTAAATTCAACTTGAAAAGTGACTTACTGTTTACTGTTGCAGGTTCATAGCCAAACACATTTACCCTTTGTTCAACGTACGTGTGTTGCTGCGCCGTGCTGGACCAATACAAGGTAACAGAATACAGAATATTACTAGCATTGTGTATATTTACAGTCAGAGTACTGCCCTAGTTTTAGTTTTAGTTCACTTGGCTGCTGTGACACTGCTGGTTTACAGTGGGATTCACAAAGTTCTGTATCTGTCCAACCTTCCATCTCAAAATCTCCTCGTAATGTTGCAGGTGTGAGAGATGCCCGTCACTGTCGTCAGAGACAATGGAGTGACTGTGATCACTGTGGCGAATGACAGGAAGAGCACGTTACCACTGCTGTGTCAAATCCTGAAGACTCTTTGCTTCGGTCCGTCGTGCTGCTCAGTGAAAAAGGGGCTGATGCAGACCAGTGTGACTGCAGCTCTCGGGGTGAGAGAGATTTAGTATTTATTCATGTGTAGTATTAAGTGATGGTTTTAAGATGTTAAGTTGTTCAAGTATAAGACAATGAGATTTAACAGTTCTGAATCTTTGACAGACCATACAGATCATGGTGGGGCTGTTCAACATCGGACTCGGGCCAGGACAAACATTCATGCATCCTCGGGATCTGACTGACTTAGGTGCTGCGTACTGGCTGGGTGCTGTGGTAAAGTAATATATTGTTGTGTTAATGCTGCCATAGGAGCACTGTTTTTTATTACACATCACTATAGAGCCAATGGAAAAAGCCGATAACAAAAAAAACCAAAAAAAAAACAATTGAAACACAGTATTGTTAATGTCTCTGAGCTGTCTGCTGTCCTCTCTTCAGTTCATCATCACTGGAATCATGACCCTTGTTGCTGGGCGGAACCCCTCTCTTTGTTTGGTAAGTAAAACCCATGTCTGAATAAAGCACCCTGGAAAGGAAGTGAAAGTCCTGCACTTAAAATTTTACTTAAAGGGACAAAAAGCGAAATCGTTTCACCGCTAGGGTTGCTGTTGTGCACTCGCCAGATCCCAGCTAGTGCTAACACCGGGAGCTAATGCTAACGTTCCTACTCTTCTCCGTGAGTGAGAGCAATGTTTTAGCCTGGCTACATTTTACAATGCTAATTGCAAATGTTAGCTGGGCTGCCGGGCTACTCACCTGACACAACCGTAACGCCTGACCCATTGCTGGGACCGAGCCACTAATAACTCAAGCTCCGGACATTAACCCATGCTACGATTGTAACATTAAATTTAATTGAATTGACATAGCTACATGTGCCTAAAGTTACTGTAACACTAATAAAACAGACATTTGACTTTATGTTGTACCTGTCCAGGAGAAGAAGAGCTAGCTCCGAGTCAGATTGTAGCCCCTTTAGCTCTGGCAGTGCTCTCCACCTTGGAAATGCAAGGCCAATGTTAATCTGGGTTCTGTCCCTTTCTTTATCCGACAACTTTTTTTCCAACGACCGTTGTTTCTTTAGAGGTAATGTCAGATCCTGGTTGTCTTCAGGTGAATGTTTTGTTCCGCTCTCCGCCATTTCATTTTGAAAATACGCGCTGCCATTGCTCACTGGCTGTAGCCTTTTATAGGGAGGGAGGGCCAAGGGCTCCGAGAGGGATTCACATGAACGTATGTGAACGCGCAGCCGGACCGGCTTGTAAACAAGGGGCTGGAGATCAACACAGAGAGAGGGTGTGTGAGGTCATGCTATACTCCAGATGAAATTACACCTCTAGTTCTTCACATAGCATTTTTTAAATTCCTTCAATCTAGACATGATGAATTTCCGCTTATTGCTCCTTTAAGTAAAAGTACAAAAGTATGAGCACCAATGTTTACCAAAAGTACCAAAGGTAGTCATGATGCAGAATGGCTGACTCCAGAATCATATATATAATATTAATGAATTATGATCACTGATTTTACATGTTGCAGCCGGTGGAGCTATTATAGGTAGCTTTATCTGTAATGCATTTTATTATCACATTTTATTTTCTGATAATGTTTTGTATCAATAATCTCATGTGTTACTATGTTAAAGACACCTGCATCTGAATGATGAAAAAGGCATCATTTTAAAGGGAATTTTTTTTAAGTGTGGTTGTGTGAGGTATGTATCCATAGTCAGAGATGGGCAAAAATACATCAAAATGTATTTTGATACAAAATACAAAATATCTCTCAAATAATTGTATCAAAATGAAATACATGTATTTTGTATTTACAAATACAGAAAATACTTTTTTCTTTTTCTTTTTAGCAGCAACCCGCAGCTCTATAGGTCATTCGGTCGGTCTGTCGGTCCACAAAACTTTTCCTGAATAACTCAAAAAGTCTTTGACCAAAAATGCTCAAAATTTACATGCTGCAATTAGAGACCATGAGTAACTATGCCAGAAAGAACAACCATGATTCATCTATTAATGGCGTGATAGTAGCAAATTTGGTCGCAGCTATTACAAATTTGCGCTTGTTTTCTCACAATTTGGTATAGCAGAGTATTCAGGTTTGGGCTATTGCTAGCTTGATTTTATCGTCACCATGTTTATTGTTATACATTAGGCTATGTAGCCAGACCCAGACATAAATCATACATCAAGCCATCTGTCACACTCAGATAAAATATTCACCTTGACAGACAATCTGTTGAACTTGGAAGACGTGAGCAGCAAGGTAGTCTACTGGTAGTGTGGGTCCATCCACGTGAGCAGCATGCCTGGCAAGTCTAGTCTAGCTGTGTTGTGAACTTTCCACCAACGGTCTAGCTTAACAGCAGCAAGATACTGTAGCCACTGTAGCGAGTTCACTTGTTTGCTGTCTAACTTGGAGCCTTTGGAGCCCTGTGTTCAACTTTTTTCAAATGAAAAAAGAGAAAAAAAAAAGCTAGGGACATGTAGGCTACCCTAAAATATTATTTATTGATTCAGATTTAGATTCAGACAACTTTAGCATACTCATCCCAAGCATCAACCACAACAACATACAATTTCCTATGTTATGCACAGTCCAGTAAAACAGACCACTAGGTCATTGAAAGGCACATTGAATGGCCCAAGTTTAAAAAAACATATAGATAAATATATATAGCTGTATAAAAAAAAAGTAAAAAATATTGTTACATCCGATATTATAAGCATGTGCAGCCTATTATTTTTGTTTTTTGATTCGTGGAGAAAGTATTTTGAGTATTTTAAATACAAAATTACTCCACTCAAAAGTATTTTGTTACAAATTACATTTGCTTTTTATCGGCCTTATCAAATACAAATTACAAAATACTCAAATGTAATTGAAATACGTATTTTAAATACAAGTAATAGAAATACTCCCCATCCCTGTCCATAGTCAGTGTTTTACATATGGTAGATGTCAGTGTGCCGCAGTATGGAGAAGCAGACAGGAGTACCACCCTAGAAGCTAATCAACACATTCTCACTCCGAACTGAAAGGTACCCTGGGTGCGATGGTTCTTGATGTTCTCTCATTTCTTTGCTTGAGCAGTCCAGAAAAACACAAGCACGCTCCATTCATTCAGAAATCTTTAGAAAAGTTTTAGTCTGATCATGCAACAGCATTTTCTGACCCAAACAGCTGACCTGCGGCGTAATACAGTGCATGGCATACAGGAACACCAAAGTTATGAGAAGTTGAGAAAATGTAGCGCCAAAGGAAAGTACTGTCTGACGGCAGGGTAAAGCGGTGAAAATATTCTCAATATAAAGGCCACTTCAACTGATATTGATTTTTTAGGAAGGCATTTTTAATGTTTTGGTTCTGTGGTGGTACTTCTGCCTGCTTCTCCAAACTAGGAGCGTGCCAACTGCCATCTACTGTGGGTAATACACTGACTATGGATAAGTAACCCCACTTGAAGAAATCCAAACTATCCCTTTAACAGACTGATAAAGCCAGCGATGTTACGTGTTACATATGTGAAATAAAACGCACACTGTGGTGGAGCAATGTCAAAAGAATAATGCCGTCTTTCCTCTCAGGTGGGCTTTGCTGTGTTGATGAACATCGTCGGATCTATCTTCGCTCTTACTGCCATCGGGCTCTATGCCACAGATTTGACAGATGCCTCTTCCTACAACATGTGTTTTGATGGTAATTACCGCTACTGCAGATATGACGGGCCCATTGCACGGGTAAGCATACTTTGAAAGGATACAGCTGGTTTCATTTTTTTTTACAATATATTTTTCTCTTTGTCAACAAATCCAGTGAAACAAACAAAACAAACAAAGTGGTAGTCCGTCTCTCTACTCTGTCTGTGGCTCATTGGATGCTACTGAAGACATAAATATGTTCTTGGTGAGTGTCTTGCTAGATTTAGCGACTTTTCAGAGCCTCTTAGCGACTTTATTTCTTAAAGCAACTAGTGACAAATTTAGTAACTTATTGAGACCATCAGGGAAAAAGCCACAAACATATTCAGATATATGATATTTTATTGTATTTCACTCACATGCAGGCTGCTCAGATTAATCAAAATCAGTGGCTACTCTGCTGAGTCTTTCACCCTAGTAATGGGATTTCTCATTCACTTGTGAGAGCCGGTTCTTTGGCTCTTGTTCACTTTGAAGAGCTGGTTCAAAGATGCAGTTCGTTCGTTCGTTTTTTTTTTTTTTATTGCTCTGTGTGTGTGTGTGTGTGTGTGTGTGTGTGTGGAGGGCGGGTGTTAGTGGGTTCAACGACGAATCGCATTGTTGATTTATCGCATCACGTGATCTGGATATTGTAAGGTGGACCCAGAACATATAAAGTTTGGTGTAGCCATAGCAACGCCCTTTATAAACAACAAGCCTGCCAATACAAGCAAGTGCTGGCAGATAGTGGGTTAGCTTCCTACCATTTGTTTCTAACCGAGGGGGGTCATCAACACAACGTGAATTAGGAACTGGCTCGTTCACGCTAAAGAGCCGGTTCAAAGACTCGGCTCGTTCGCGAACGTCACATCATTATTTCACCCTCTTTCCCTCTATGTAGGCGAGCCTGGTCTCACCCAGAAGTCATTGAAATCCTGCGCTTGGGCAGTAACTTACAGCATCAGAAACCGGGTTTTACTTTGAAACTCACATCTCCACTCATTTCAGATCACTTCACTTCCTGCCCCTGTGTATTTTCCTTCCCTTCTGATGACTTCACCTGTGTCTGATTGTCTGTCCCGCCTTGATTAGCCTCACCTGTGTCTCGTTATCCTTCCCTTCACCAGAGTATTTAGTGTGTGTCCTGTTTTCTCTCAGTGCTAGTTCGTCTTAGGCCCTTGTGTGTGTGTAGCGTTTCAGCCTTTTGTTTCCCTGTGTCCCTTTCTTAGTTTTTCAACACATTCTCACTGCGACCTCGTCACATATTGACATTTGGTCATGGACTTTCACATCTGACATGCAAGGTACCCTGGGTGCGTTGGTTGTTGACGTTCTGGGACGCCGTGTCAAGTTCTGCCTGTTGCATGCATTGTCTTCTTTCAAGATACAATTTTTTTTTTACAGGAAATTTATGGTTTACATACAGTCTCTTTCAAAATTAACGCACTTCGTAAATGCGACAACGCAAAGTGACATTTTTTCCCCCTCTACAACAAACACGTGGTTACGTTTAGGAAAAAAGAAACAAGTGAATCGTACGGGACACGAACACCATTCTCTTGGGTGAAAGTCTGTGTTTGTTGGACCCACCCACCCCACTCGGACTTTCGCCACCTTAACTTTCGTCCTTGTCCCACTGCATTTCCCCCTGACACTGCTGAGCACTGTTGAACTATAACAGCAACCGGGTGTGTATCACCCGTGTGTATGCAGATGTTAAAGGATGCTTTCTTGTTGGTTTCTGATGCTGCAGTCACTGCCCAAGCGCCGGATTTCGACAACTTCCGAGTGAGATCCCTCTTGGATCTGTTTGCCTTCACTGATTGTCTCTCTGTGTACCAGACCTCCCTTTTGACCAGTAAAGACTGTGTTTCACTTTAAAGTGAAATTGTCTTGGAATAAAATTGAATCACTTCTGTCTCTTTTATTTCAGAATCTGGTGACAGTCAAGGACGCCACTATGATCATCCTCGCTGTTCTTCAGCTGTTTGTCTGCATCAGCTTTGCTGGTCTGGCCATCACGGCTTTGACCGCTGAGATGAAGAAGGAAGAGGTACGAACCAAAAAGACGATCCCAAATCTGTACAGTCCGCATGAATTAGAGGACAGCTGGGTGCTATATTCAGAATGGTGAAGCAAAGTATGAGCAGTAATAACAGGGACGCAATAGCTGTAGCAGTAAGGATAAACGTAGCTGCATTTCTGCTGCAGTATTTAATATTTTCAGTCTTATGAAAGTTTATTTTATTTTCTGTGCCAACAGGGTGGCAAAGATGTTGAAGATCAGCAGCCACAGTTGAAGGAAATCCTCCTGACCAGTCCTGGTGCTTAAAATGAACTCAGCATAACACGTGGAAGCATGACTCTGAGTCGATGTAATATTTGTGCTTTTACACATACTTGCTCAAAGTAATCAAAACTGCTTCATATCACAGGGACACTTTTTTCCAGCTGATGCATGTTTAAGTTTTTTTTTCTATCTGCTTATGAATTATTTTTTTTAAAGGAAACTTGAATAAAAAAACATGAAATAGTGAAAACAGTCAAAAGAGACACGAGTTATTTTCCGGAGGCTAGATATCTTAAACCCTCAGCAGATTACACTGAAAACTGTATGCATAGATACCACAAGGGGTAACTGAAAGTAAAGATTTTAAAGATATTAGTTTATTGGCCATTTGAAGCACCACAATTTGTATTAGAGCGTTTTTGGTAGTTTTCCACATCCTTAAACACACTGAGCAGCAGCATATACTGTATAAGATTGAGTTGCACCTGAGACAGTTTTCTGAGAACTTTTGGGTCTTCTCTTGTTTGCATTGCACATGAGCTGCTAACTCAACAGTCGTTGCAGCTTGGTAATGTTCGTTAGCCTCACCTTTCTAAGGTGGACGGTATGTCAAAGTCTCTTGCTCAGAAAGTTACAGAACAATCCACTCTGACTCACAAGTATATTGGTACACTCGAAATAATAATGATAATAATAACAATAATAATGATAATAATAACAATAATAATAATAATTATGATTATAATGATGATAATGATACAGCTAACTGGCCAGTATTTTTCAATAGTATGTAAATGTTAGCTAACTAGTTCACCTCACAGTTACAAGTGCCACACAGTGATTGGGTGTTAGCTAGCTCACATTTGCAGAAGGATTAATGGATTAACAGCTTTGATGATGTTTCATATATTCCCTGCTGATAGATCAATAAATAAATTAGCCATTTATAATGAGACTGAGGCTGTATTGTCTGAGACCTGCGGCTGTTTGGTCTGAGACCTTTTTTTTCTGAGGCCCTACTGTCTGAGACCTTTTTTTTTCTGAGGCCCTACCGTCTGTGACCTGAGGCCGTTTAGTCTGAGATCTTTTTTTTCTGAGGCTGTTTCATTCGAGACCTGAGGCCATTTGGTCTGAGACCTTTTTACAGAGGCTGTTTTGTGTGAGACCTGAGGCCATTTAGTCTGAGACCTTTTTTTCTAAATCCCTTTTGCCTGAGACCTTTTTCTTTTCTGAGGCCGTTTCATCTGAGACTTGAGGCTGTTTGGTCTGAGACCTTTTTTTCTGAGGCCGTTTTGTTAGAGACCTGAGGCCGTTTCATCTGAGACCTGAGGCCGTTTAGTCTGAGACATTTTTTCTAAAACCCTTTCGTCTGAGACCTTTTTTTCTAAAACCCTTTTGTCTGAGACCTTTTTTTCTGAGGCCGTTTGGTCTGAGACCTGAGGCCATTTCATCTGAGACCTGAGGCCGTTTTGTCTGAGACCTGAGGTCGTTCAGTCTGAGACCTTTTTTTCCTAAAACCCTTTTGTCTGAGACCTTTTTTTCTGAGGCCATTTCGTAAGAGACCTGAGGCCGTTTTGTCTGAGGTAGTTTCATCTGAAGTCTGACAGAGGTTTTCCTGAGACCTGATACTTTTTCATCTAACTCCGATGCCTGAGGATGTCCTAAATGGACACCATATGCCTGCTCTTGTCCACTTTCCAGGAGAGGTGCAGTTCATCCTGACTGACAATTCACCGTCTCTTTTACTCTAAATGAAACCATAATTAAAAAAATGAATATCATACTGCAATAAAGCAGACTTAAAACTAGTCATTAAGACCTTGAACTCATGAGAATAATGTTAACTGTTGCTACTTTTACTCAAATGAATAATCTAACCAATTATTCTGCGGCTGCTAATTATGTAGAGTAGGCAATTTAAACGCTTTTATTTTGAAGCAATCAGCGACAGGAAGTATCCTGCGCCTCCGAGGAGCGAGTCTGCCTGTCACAGTTACAGGAATCTCTAGACAAAAAAAACAGGTGAGTTCACTGCACGTAAAATTAATAATAATTTGAACTCTATAGTGAGACAAGCTGTTTACTGAGCTCTGAACTGGTCGGTGTGGATGTTTGGTTGATGGTAATCATGTACTACAGTCTGGGAGAGAAAGAGAGATGATGTCAACAATAAATAAGGAAATGCATCGTCATTTTCTGGGAGACTCAGATGTCCTCCCTCCAATATCACAACCTGTAGGTGAGCCTGCACCAATCTGATTTTAAAACAAAGTCAAAGCTGTGATCTTAAACCTCGAATAAGTGCCGGTTGATGTGAAACTCCTCAGTGCGTCATCACATTTCACTGATTTTCATTTCCAGTAATCCCAGCTGCTCAGGGAGGGACTTCACTGAAACTGAAACCAGACATGTTCTGCTTTGGCAGCCGGAACATATTCACTGGCATTTGTAAGGAACAATATAAATAATATGGAGCTCCAAATGACGATGATTTTCATTATGTAATCTGCTGATTATTTTCTTGATTAATGGATTAATGATTGGTTTTAAAAAAATGTAGGAAAACAATAAAAGAAATGTCATTAAACTTCTCCAAAGCCCCAAATGACATCATCTCATGTTGTGTTTTGTTTGACCAGCTGTCCAAAACCCAAAATAGGCTATTTAGTTTATAATGATAGGAAACAGAGAGCTAACAAATCATTATATTTTGTGAGAATGATTTTGGCATTTTTGGTTTAAAAATGATTTAAACATTCAGTTATAAAAAATATTTTCAATTAGTTTAATTAATTAATTATACAGCTAATTGGTCCATTGTTGCACCTCTAATGACATTTTACAGCTTCAAAGCACATTTATATGATTGCATGTGTGTATGTTTGGGCTAAGATACTTCACTGGTTTCTGACTTTTTCAATTAAATTTTATTTATTTATTCTTTCTTTTTTTTTTAAAGATATTTTTTAGGGCATGTTTTGCCTTTAATTGACAGGACACTCAAGTGTTAAAGGGGGAGAGAGAGGGAGAGACATGCAGCAAAGGGCCACAGGCCGGAGTTGAACCCGGGCCGCTGCGGCAACAGCCCTGCACATGGGGTGCCCACTCTACCACCGAGCCACTGACGCCCAATTCAATTTTGTTTATAAAGCCCAATATCACAAATCACAGTTTACCTCAGAGGGCTTTACAGCATATGACATCCCTCTGTAATTGTACCCTCGCAGTGGATAATGAAAAACTCCCCAAAAAACCCTTTAACAGGGAAAAAAAAAATGGTAGAAACCTTAGGAAGAGCAACTGAGGAGGGATCCCTCTTCCAGGACAGACAAACTTGCAATAGATGTCGTACAGAACAGATCAACATGATAAATTAACAGTAATCCGTATGACACAATGAGACAGAAAGAGAGTTAGTATATGTATGTGACAGTAATAATCATATGTGTATAATAACAGTAGAAGTATGACTAACGATAACAGCAGCAGTGGGCATCAGGCAGGACCACAGCAGCAGCATAAACATGGCACACCATCCAGGCGTAGCTGCGATACAAGGTAACCTGCGAGACAGTGGAGCACAAAGGCTCCGGAGAAGAAGTTGAGTTCGTGAGATGCAGTAATAGGACGTCAACTGAAGAAGAACCAACTTTTTAGAAACTAAGGAGAAGGGAGGGAGAGAAGGTGCTCGGTGTGTAGGCCTAAGTCAGCCTAACTAGGGGCTGGTACAGGGCAAGCCTGAGCCAGCCCTAACTATAAGCTTTATCAAAGAGGAAAGTCTTAAGTCTAGTCTTAAATGTGGAGACGGTGTCTGCCTCCTGGACCGTAACAGGAAGATGATTCCACAGGAGAGGAGCCTGATAGCTGAAGGCTCTAGCTCCTGATCTACTTTTGGAGACTTTAGGGACCACAAGTAACCCTGCGTTCTCAGAGCGCAGTGTTCTGGTGGGATAATATGGCACTATGAGCTCTCTAAGATATGACGGAGACTGACCATTTAGAGCTGTAAGATTTTAAATTAATTCTGGATTTTAAAGGGAGCAGGTGCAGAGAAGCTGAAACAGGAGAAATGTGATCTCTTTTCTTAGTTCCTGTCAGCACATGTGCCACTGCATTCTGGATCAGCTGTTAAAGAAGTATTAGAGCTACCTGATACCTAAAAGGGAATTGCAGTAATCCAGCCTTGAGGTAACAGAAGCGTGGACCAATTTTTCTGCATCTTTTTGGGACAGGATAGGCCTAATTTTTGCAATACTACGCAGATGAAAGAATGCAGTCTGTGAAGTTTGTTTTGTGTGGGAGTTAAGAGACAAATCTTGGTCAAATATGACCCAGAGGATTCTTACGGTTGTGCTAGAGGCCAGAGTAATGCCATCCAGACAAACTATATCTTCAGATAGAGACTTAAGAGCTCCATTCTCAGGTGAATTTAAAGTTCTCAGTTTCTGGTAAAAAAAAAAATAAATTCTTTAATCGTAGACCCACCTGTTTGAGTGTCCTTATGTTGTTTGTTTTTGTGACACCTATGTGCAACTTGGCTGCTGTACCACTGCAATTTTCCCAGCGTGATTAATAACTACTGATTTTCTTTCCTGTCATCCATCCACATAATCTCCAAATCTCCTCGCCATGTTGCAGGTGTGAGAGATGTCCTTCACTGTTGTTAAAAACAAGGGGGTGACTGTGATCACTGTGGCAGCTGACGAGAAGAGCATGTTACCACCTCTGTGTCAGATCATGAAGTCTCTCTGCTACAGTCCGATATGCTGCTCAGTGAACAGGGGGATGATACAGACCAGTGTGGCTGTGGCTCTCGGGGTGAGAGATTTAAATGTATTTATTAATGTGCAGTGTGAAGTGATGGTTCCAAAATGTTATGTTGTTCAAGTATGAGACAATGAGATCTAACAGTTTTGAATCTTTTACAGACCATACAGGTCATGGTGGGGCTGTTCAACATCGGACTCGGGCCAGGACGAACAAGCCTCCATCCTGATGATTTTGCCCATTTGGGAGCTGCATACTGGCTGGGTGGTGTGGTAAGATAATTTTGCTGGATTAACAATAGCAATAGCACAATAGCAAAAATAGGGCTGATCTATAAGAAATAATTCATAGATTTTTGTTTCTGATTTCTTCCCTATAAAAAAATAATGTGCTGTGCTCTCTTCAGTTCATCTTAGCTGGAATCATGTCCATTCTTGCCGGCCGGTTCCCCTCGCGGTGCCTGGTAAGTAAAGACCTTTTCAAACGTGCTCCCCTTTATGTTGTGGGTGATGGGAATTTAACATGCTGGTCTCATTTTTGAATAAGCACCCCGGTCACTTATGTTCTGCCTTCTTGGACCACTGCAGTGATTCAGTTCAATCATTATTAATAAGTGTATAAGAGACAATTTTCCTTGTGTTGGCTTTTGTTTTTGTTTTCCTGTATTACAACTGGTGAACACTGTGTGGCAGTCACCTTGTTTAGATGTACAGGGAAATGCAGCCACATGTGTTGCATGCCTGGGGAGGCACTCATGGCGTCAGGGAGAAAGATAGTGAGGCAGTAATCAGTGTGATTAAGCTACCTTACTCTACTTGATGAGCGTTGTGTTGTGTAAATGTAAGTAATAAAAGCAAGACAGCAAGAGAAGTTTGTGGGCTCAGTGAATGAACAAAGCAGCTGATGCCTACAGCACACGTCAGCTAGAACTCATTGACATGGAGCAACGTAGAGACTTAATGGAAAGCCACTGTAATAATAATAAAAATAATAATAACTTTATTCATATAGCACAATTCATGCATAAAATTCAACACAAAGTGCTGATCATAAAAATCAAAACATTGTGATAGAGAAAAAAAGATGATAAAAACATATATTAAAGTAATGATAATAATTATTAAACAAAAAAATAGTGGATAAATTATTATTCAGTGAAAACTACAGGCTAAGACAGGATAAAACAACCATCAGTTAAAAACGCATTTCAGGAGAAAGCAGTGGTAAAAAGATAAGTCTTTAGGCTGTCCATGTAGGCGTGTGGAAGAGGCTTTCTGCGTAGCCCTCAGAAAGGCAGAGGGGCCCCAGCACAGAGCCATACCACCCCAGTTCTATACATTCAGCATCAAACTTGCATTTGGACATGTCATCAAGCTAGTTTGCCGTGTCTGTCAAGTAGCTGTCCAGTAGCCACTCACTCTACGGTGGAAAATAGCTCCTCAGAATAAAAGCTCTGTGCCGGAAATTCACTGTACTAAAAAATAAAGTGTGGTTATTACAAACTTGACATGTTCGTGATTCAGAATGGACCCACGACTCACTTTTGGATGGTGACCCACCAGCTGGGAACCCCTGTATAATAATAATAATAATAATAATAACAATAATAATAATAAAACAGAGTTACAAAGTGCTTTACATGTCAATAATTAAAGCAGACGACATGAAAACAACAATTTTTATAAGAACTGATAAAACCGAGGAAATAAAAGACAGTTTAAATTAACTTAAAACTCAAGTAAAATCAGGAAAGGCTCTTCTGTAAAAACATGTTTTAAGAGGGGACTTTAAAGAGATCACCGACTCTGCCGACCTGATTTCCTCGGGCCTCTGTCCCCTTTAGTTTTCAGCCAGGCCCGTGGAACAGACAAAACACCTCAAAGAACGTCCTGGTGTGTGTGGCACTAAGAGGTTGGCGATATAGCTGGGAGAGAGACCATGAGGAGTCTTAAAAGTAATCAGTAAAATCTTAAAATCTCTTCTAAAACATACTGGGAGCGATGAGTGATGTGATCGTGTCTGTTGGTTCTGGTTAAAATCCTGGCAGCTGAATTCTGAACAGTCTGGAGTCTGGAGGCAAGAAAAGAGGCTGTTGCCGTGATCCAGGCATAAAGAGATGAAGATGTATTAGTGGATTTGCTACCAGAAGCAGGGCCGAGCATCACGTTGAAAACTGTACACTGTTGTGGAGCACTGTGGAAAGAATAATGGGGTCTTTCTTCTCAGGTGATCTCTTCCGTGGTGATAAACATAATCGGATCTCTCATCACCATTGCTGGCGTTGTGCTCTACGCCATAGACATCTTCGATGTCACGGGTGCCAACATGTGTGACTGGGAAAGGTACAAATCTCGTGAAGATAATGACAACTGCACATCAGTCATGCACTTTTTCCAGGTAAGCATGCGTTTAAAGGATGATGCTTGTTGTATGCTGTATTTTTCTCATTGTCAACGAATCGACAACAACTTAGTTTGTCTCTCAATATTGTCTGACTTCTAGAACTATATTTAACATTCAGTGGAGTTTTGACAGTGTAATTTAATTTTGTCAGTTTCAGAGTGAAGAAATCTGATTTGTCTTTCCTTCTTAAATGATTCGAATTCTTTCTTTGTCATTTCTTGTCTGTATCAGCACATAGTGGTGGCCATGGACATTACTATGATCGTCCTGACTGTTCTGCAGCTGTGTGTCTCCATCAACATGACTCTTCTGGGCATCAAGGGTGTGTGCACGCTGAGGAAGGGAACGGTACGAACTGAGACACACAAAGTCACAATCCAAGTAAAACAGTGATTAATCGTACTTGTAGCAGTATTCCTAGAGTACCTGCTGGACTACCAGCATCAGTAGTGATGCTACTGGTTGTAGTGGGTGCACAGTATAACTGGTAAAGTATAAAGTTGGCTTAACTCTGTCTTGTTGCTTATTAAAGTTTATTTTGTTGTGTGTCAGCAGGGCGGCAGAGCTGACGAGGTTGACCAGCCACTGTTGAAGGAAGTCCTCATGACCAGTCCTGGTGCCTAAAATCAACTCAGCATTCATCCAAACACGAAGATGTTAGAGTGTGATCAGCAACGCATCATTACAACTGTTTAATGTGTCATCTTGAAATAATAACTAATAACTGTTTTTTTTTTTTCTAAATCTCAAGTACATGTTATTATATGTTATGTTTAAGAGAAAAATCAATCCGTAGTCTGGTACAATGTGATTTTATAAATATTTCTTTTTTTATCAGCTTGTGAATCATCATTTAAAGTAATCTTCCTTGAACAAAGGTAAAAGTGTTGACAGTGTTTTGAGTTATCAAGAACAAAATTCCACTCATTGGGGCGGCATCATTAGGCATGATCGGAAATACGTAAAAGATGGGCATCATATGCACAATGTTTTTTGGGTAGGCTTCTAATGCAGTCTGAAAGAATAACATTTGCTAGGAAAGAAGAAACTTCTCCATATTCACCAAGGTTATCAGATATGATCTGAAGAGCAAAATAAAATACTTGATATCGGGGCAGAGGCTGTAAATTATGGAGGGGTTATATATTTTGGCAGACTTCATTTCCAGTTCATTTCTAATATTGTATCGGGAACATAAGTGTCGACATTCACTCGCTGCAGCAGGCGTTCTGTTGCCACCAAACCCTCTGCTTTCGTCTTCATGTGTGCCGGTTTGGTGGATCGCTGCTGCTCGCTGTATATGTTTATGCCCCACCCACACACACATTCTTACTGACTGACTAATTGGCACTCTTTATTAAGAATACAGTCTATCTGAAGCTTTCATCACTACTACAAATGCAGCTGTAGCCAGTATCTCACTATCACTATCCTCATTCATATTTTAAGAAGCTACACATTATATTCAGCCACAAGATAAACCTGAAAAGCTGCAAATCAGAACAGAAGTACAGAGAGTTGTTGCATAGTGATGATACACCATCTCATCTAGTTGCGCTGATGAGAACCAACAGGTTTTTAGAACGTTGCAGAACAGTGCATTGCACGTAGTTGCACATCTCAACTCTTCTCATCGTGAATCTGTGGTCTGCACTGAGCTTAAAGCCCACCCTTTGGTTCCTATGGTAGCTTGGTCAGCTCGATAGCACTGTTAGCTGCTAGCCGTCTGCTCAGCACCTCCCTGTTAAGAGCCGTGTGCAGACAATCTGAATCACTTCAAATCAGTGATATGCTCTGATTGTCATGTAGAGCTTCTTTAAATATACACATACAAGTACATGTACCTCTGCATGTATACACTTGCCATTTTTCATCCATCTACCAGATGTCCTTGGACTTTTCCCGCCTCTCCCCATCACCACCACTACTGAAGTTCAGCAAAATTTAGAGGAAAAGGCACCAGGTCGTAAATGTAAAGGATCAAACTAATTCTGCTGCTGCTAACCATGTAGTGTAGGGGAGCGCGGGGCACAACCTAATATGGGGTAAATTGTAACATGGACTTTTTAATCGGTCACATCCTTTCTTGTTTCTGGCCAGCTGTCCATGATGCCACCATACAGTGACCCGTGAAATTCCACAGGGATTAGATATGTGTCAGTGGAATTCGGTTTTTGGTCTATTTAAATAAATTTCTTTGTCATATTTGTTTCTTGATTACTGATTAATGCCTGTTCATATATATATGTATATACCATCAACCTGCCAGGGACTGCAGATGAAAATTAGCCTGTATGGCTAAATCTGGCACATTTATGTGACTTAAGTGATCATGTTAATTAATGTGCACTGTCCCTTCTTAAATAAAATAAACATAAACATAAACATCTGTCTCTGTAAGTCACAGAATGCAACCATACATCATCTTAATAACTGTTTTGTTGCCTAAAACATAGACCTGATTTGAACAACAACTCCCTGCAAGTGTAAGCCAGGCTTGATAAAACTTCCACACAGCAACAAAACTACTGTTCATTTGTAGCATGTTGTTAGAATCCCAAACAGTTTAAATAACAATCAGCCCAAACTAAAACGTGTTAGGTTGTAGCAGAGCCCTTGAATAGTTAGGTCTAGGGTTATGTTTTTGTTATATTCTACGGCACTGGGTTGTAGGTCATTTAAAGGCTTTTATTTTGAAGAGCGAGCGACAGGAAGTAGTAATTGCTGCAGCTCCCTGATCTCACCCTAAGTGAACCAGGCTGCTGTCACTGTTACAGGAGTTTGTAGACACGAACCAGGTGAGTTCACTGCTCATAATAAACACATAATTTATACGAATATTGAAAAATAATAATTTAACCACTTTATTAATTTAATAACTGAAACAGTCTGCTTACTGAGCTCTGAACTGGTCGATATGGATGTTCTGTTGATGGTAATCATGTATTACTGGGCAGGAAAGACAGATGTTATTAACTTGTGTGTCGCTGGCCGATATGAAAACCCTTCCTGATTTTTATTAGTTTTCGCCGTCAACTTGTCATTTCGTGTTTGTTTTAGGATAAACACGGAAGTGCGTCAGCTCTTTCTGTGAAGCTGAACTTAACCTGCTTAAATCTTATTTTTAACACAATGACAGTTACCATACTCACTGCGAACCTCATCTCAGGTGTTATACCTCGAATAATAAGGGTTAAAACATGCGTGTTGGTTGATGTGAGTGTTCTTCAGTCCTCAGTTTCATTTTTTTTTCCCCATTTCCAGTAATCACAGCACAGGGAGGGACTTACTGACAAAAAAAGCCTCTGCTTCGGCAGCAAAAGCAGATGCACCACATTAGGGTTATTTCATTTTAAAGCTCACTGGCATATGTACTAATACACACAGTATAATCTGGGGTTGCATCAAGACAATTACTTACATTATTGATTAATCTGCTGTTATATATTGTTGATTATGATGAAGATGAACTTTATCGTCTCACAAAGTGGGATTATTTTCTCTCTATTCTTTATTTGATAGGGAGGATGATGCAGTTTAACACTGCTCCAATACAGAGTGTGGGACTGATGTGTTGCACAGAGAGTTCAACTCTTGTTCCGAGTCGGGCTTTTACATGTAGACCTAAGATGTTACTAAAAATATACAGTTTAAAACTGTGGTTCCCAACTGGTCCAGCCACGGGTCCACATTTGTCCCTAGCTGTAAATTCAGGGTCCACAAGGTTTAATATATTAAACATTATACTTCCTTTTGGCCATGTTGTCGAGCTACTCTGCTGTGTCTCAATTCAGGGGCATTCGATGGCTGCATTTGAGGACTGACTGCGTTACGTCGGTGCGACCAAGGCTGTCCCATTTCGAAGGCTCCTTCAAATAGGGAGAAATGCAGCCTTCTTACCCAGAATTTGGTGGATGCAACAGATGAATCCTTCATGGCCCAGCCTATCCCAAGATGCATTGCGCACAGATGACGGTTATATATTAAGTTAAGTTAACTAACAGTTGTTAACAAACTAACAGTCCATCAGCCTGAAATATATCTAATGGCGGCGTCTCTGTCTCTAGACCTCAAAGGCCACATCCTTGAATTGAGACACAATTGAATTGAGACACAAGCCCCTTTTACACTGCCAAATTTTCCGCGAATGTCGGGCCGCTTTGCCGTCAAGCTACGAGCGTTTAGACACACAGAGCTGGATTGGCGAGTTGATCCGAGGTGCCCTATTTTCCGACTCGTAGGGTAGACATATTGGTGGAACCCTTTAGTTTAAACAGGCCGAGGCGGCCTTCCGCAACAGGAGGGGCTGTTGATGACGCCGCACATGCGACCCACTGGCGGTGGATAAACAGGAAACAGCTGATAGCAGGAATGAGCGAGCAGCTAGTAGCAAGAGAGAGGCGCACAAATCCTATCTTAAAAGGGCTACAGCTTCTGTTAAACAGCTGTCCAATATTCACTCACCTACAGCAGGAAATGGCACGTGAAAATAAAAGCTTGTGCCAGAAATTCACTGTACTTCAAAATAAAGTGTGTTTTTTACAAAGTTGACACGTTCACAGGTCACTTTCTCTCTGGTCTGAAGTGAGCTCAACACACCATCCCTGTGTATCCAAAGCTGACACAGTAGGGTTACCTAGTGTGTCACATTTTGATGTGTTGGGCCACTGACCAGCAGTTGGTATTTGATGAGCTGGGAGTGAGAATGTGTAAAATGTGCTGTACATAGTTACTGGTTATGTCTTTTTGTAGTCTCGCTCACCAGACCTTTCTCAAGAAAAGAAAGGTCTGGCTGGGCCGACTCTCACTTTGAGATTGGAGAAAAAAACGCCCCGGCTGCTTGTATTTCTTTCAACCAAACACAATCGTTCTGGGCGGTGCCACAGCAACGGTGCGCTTGCAAAAATATTGCCGGGGGGAAACAGGTTTTGGTGTTACACGCCCACAAAAATATCACCTACAGGATGCGAACCGTGGCAGAAAAATGGCTACATCCCCGCAAGACCAAACACCGCAAATGTTAGTAAAGGACGTGTTGAAAACGGTTGAAAACTGCTACACAACCGGAGGTGGTAGGGCGGGACTTCAGCGGGTGGCTCGTTCCGCCCAATGAGAGGCTGATCTATGCAGCAAACTTCCGCCTACTCAGACTAGTCTCTTTGTAGCTGTGTGATTGACTTTCCATTAAAAAAATAGTCACAGTAGCTTCATGCAGAGACTCCAGACCTGTTACGTGCATTCAGTAATCCATCCACAATACAAAAAGTCAACTACCTATCACCTTCTGAAGATGGTGTGAGAAGGGCACCAGGCACCTGGCCACCCCTCTGGCACCGTCCCTGTGGCTGTTACTTTTCCAGGTTTTAACATTCTAAGACAGATACACTTTTCCTTTGTTCAACAGACACACAAAATATCAGACACTGCTGTAACGCTGCAATTTTCCCAGCGTGATTAATAAATACTCCATCAGTCTGGTCATCCATCCACATAATCTCAAAATCTCCTCGTCATGTTGCAGGTGTGAGAGATGTCCGTCACTGTTGTTAAAGACAAAGGAGTGACTGTGATCACTGTGGCGGCGAGCAGGAACAGCATGTCTCCACCGCTGTGTCAAATCCTGAAGGCTCTCTGCTACAGTCCGATGTGCTGCTCAGTGAACAGGGGGATGATGCAGACCAGTGCGACTGCATGTCTCGGGGTGAGAGATTAAGAAATGTTTATTCATGTGCAGTGTGAAGTGATGATCCCTGAGATGATAAGATTCAACATGTTTGAATCTTTTACAGATTATGCAGATCATGGTGGGGCTGTTCAACATCGGACTCGGGCCAGGACGAACAAGCCTCCATCCTGGGGATTTTGCCCATTTGGGAGTTGCTTACTGGCTGGGTGGTGTGGTAAGACAATATTGTTGTGTTAAAAGGCTATCACCCCGAGTGCACATGTATTTATGTTGTTTAACATCAGAGCACAATGGCAGAACAGGAAATTTTTTCTGATGTTTTAGCAAACAGACGAAATCACCAGAACTTTTTTCATAAAAAGATAATTCACAGATTTTTGTAAACGTGAAATACAGTAGATAATACAAAGATTTTTTTCTCATAAAAAAACAAGAAAACAGGTGAAATATAATCGATTTTCTTTCTTTCTTTCTTTCTTTCTTTCTTTTTTAATACAACAAACAAAAACAAAACAAGTGAAATTTAATATATTGAATATAGAATTTTTTATTTTTCCTTTCTATATAAAAACCAGCAACAAGAAAACAAGTGAAATGTAGCAAAAATAACTTTCTGGATTTTGCTTTCTAATAAAACAAAACAAAAAAACAAGTGAAATTTAGGAGATTTAATATAGATTTTTTTCTTGTTCCTTTTCATAAAAACAACAACCAAAAACAGGTGAAATATAGCAAAACAAATTTCATAGATTTTTTCTTTTTTAATAAAACAAAATAAAAATAAAAACATGGGGAATTTGGTAGATTTAATATAGATTTTTTTCTTTTTTAATAAAACAAAAAATCATTGGAAATTTGGTAGATTTAATATAGATTTGTTTTCTTTTTCTGTCTTGTAAAAAAAAAAAGAAAAGCGGTGAAATACAGTAGATTTAAGAATTATTTTTAATAAAAAAAATCAATTGAAATAATATATTTTTTCTCTTTCTTTCTCAAAAAATCAACAAGAAAACAGCTGAAATACAGCAGATTTGGAATCAGTTGGAATCATGTCCCTTCTTGCCGGCTGGTTCCCCTCTTGGTGCCTGGTAGGTAAAGACTAAAAGCCTCTCAGTCGTGCACCCCTTGATATTGTGGGTGACACAAAGGGGTGCACGCAGGGTCAAACACTTACGTTGAATGATGAAACTGATGTGACTGTATCAGTGGATTCACTGATATTCACTGGAATAATGGAGTCCTTTTTCTCAGGTGGTCCTCGCTGTGATGATGAACATAATCGGAGCTATCTTCACCATTGTTGGTGCTGTGCTATACGGCATAGACATCTATGATGTCTCTAATGCCGACATGTGTGACTGGGGCAGGGCTCGTAATTCTGATATGTGCGAAAGTTTGCAGTACTTTTTCCAGGTAAGCATGCTTTTAAAGGATAAAGCTGGTTTTATGCTTTATTGTTTTTATTGACAACAAACTCCATGTGAGGAAAAACAAAACTGACAACATATTAGTCCATGAA